TTATCGTTTTAGTTCTATACGTAGGGTTCTCTTGGCAAAGATACTGAAATGGTTTGTCATTTTCTTCTCCAGTGGATCGCCTTTTGTCAGAATTCCCTACTATGACCTGTCCATCTTGGGTAACCCTGCATGGCATAGCTCACAGTTTCATTGAGCTGTGCAAGCCCTTCCCCCATGACAAGGCAGTGATGGGGGATGGGAGGGCTGGGTATATAAATCCTCTTTGTTTCTCACTGTATGTGTGACCTTGAGCAAAACTGTTCTCTGAGTTCCAATTAGTCACACTAAGCTATATCTAATGTCTCTTCCAGCTTTAAATCTTTTGGGATGAAAGAGAGGTGAAACGAGAATATTTTACAGGTATTACAGGCAGGATTGAACCCAACAAATTCAGGTACGGTGAGAAGGAGCCGCTGTGACTTGGATCTTCTACTCTTTTCTCTTTACAATGGCACCAATTCTTATTGGTTAGATTATCTCTATGCTGATGACTCCCAGATCTATACATAAAATAATAGTCCCTCTCCTGAGCTCAGATCTTTATCATCAGCTGCCTTTTAGACATTTTTAAGTGGATGTCTCATATGCAGATCAAACACAACATGCCCATAACAGAACTCATTCCTCAACCTCCACCTCACAAACCATTCCTCTTCTGAACTCTTCCATTGCTATAGAGGGCCATCTTCCTCCTAGTCACATAGGTTTGAAACCTTGGTATCATTCTTCTTTTTTGACTCCTCATTATCATTCACCCAGTATATTCAATCATTGCCAAATCTTGCAAGACACTCGATCTCTACAGCATGTCTTTATATGTTGCCTCCTCTCCACTCACACAACCAGCACCCTAGTTCAGGCCCCCATTCCACTCACCTGGACTATTGTGGTAGCTCTCTAATTGATCTCCCTATTTCAAGTCTCTCCCCACTCCTAACAGTCTTCCACATAGCTGCCACCAAAAAGATTAGTTTCCTAAAGCATAGGTCATGATCATGTCACCAGCACCCCCCAATACACACTCAATAAACTACAGCGACTCTCTATTACCTCTATGATTAAATATGTCATTAAAAGACCTTTACAACCTGGCTTCTTCTTATCTTTCCAGTCTTCTTACACATCCACTCTCTACTTTCTCTTTGGATCAACCGTACTGGCCTAGTTGCCATTCTTCACACATGGCATTCCATCTCCCATCTCCATGTTTTTAACTGGCTTTGCCCCATGCTTAGAGTTTATTCTTTCTTCAACTCCTCTCTTAGTAGCCCTGGTCTCCTTCAAGACAACTCAAATGCCATGTTTTGTAGGAAGCCTTTCCCAGCTCCACCAGCTACTAGAGCCTTTCTTTCTAAGGTCACCTTCCATCTATTCTGAAAATATCTTGTATATGTCTATTTATGCGTGCGTTGTCTCCCCCATTAGAATAGAAACTCTTTGAGGCACAAGATTCTTTTTGCTTTTTATATTCCAGGTGTTTAGTACAATTCCAGGTACATAGTAAGCACTTAATAAATGCATATTGATTGATTTTTAAGAGAAATTAAGGACTTTCTTAAGTCATCCTCTCTACCTCCTCTCCAATTGGATGGAACCTTGGACTCCAGCTCCTAGAAATAACCTGGGCTCTGATTGGTGAGTTTTCTCCTTAGCTTGCCTGGATCTATACCTTGTTCTGATGTATCCTCCACTTCTCACCCCCTTCCAGCTCTTTTTTATGTATTGTCTTCCCCTATTAGAATGTAACCTCCTTGGGGGAAGGGACTGATGTGCATTTACTTTCTTGCTTGATACAAAATGCTCTGTCTCTCATCTAGCTATCTATCCGTCTATTTCTCTATCTGCCATCTGTCTATCATCTTACTTGCAGGGAAATAGAGGAGTTTATACCTCTTCTATACTCTGTACACAAGCCTTCAGAATGATGCTTACTGCAGATGGAAATGTCAGCAACCTTTCAAGAGAGAAACAAAGGAAAATAGCTGATTTTTCTCAAAATTTGTGTTGTAGAGATGTAGAGAATATAAATCATTATACTTTTTTGGCATGGTCTTACATAAGATGACTTTTCAACTAAATTTTTAAGTGTGTGCCATTCAATTTAGCACTAAATAAAATTTATTTAGAAATAAATTTTGTCACATTTGTGCTGATGGAATGTTTATTTGGAAACTCAGGAAGGCCTATGCATTTTCCCAATTAGAAATGAGAAAACACCTCTTCCACTTAGCTATTTGGGTATGTGTAGATTCTAAATGTTTTTTTTTTTTTTACTAAGTGATGCAGAAATACTTCTACATAAATATCCCAAAAAGAAATATTTTAACACCCCTCTCCCCATCAGTTAGTATGTAAGCAAAGACAGAGTGAGATGTTTTGGATTAAATGTCCGTCAACACGTTGGCAATTATTAGCTGCATCTCCTTTTTCATCTAACCCAGACGGATGTGCCTGGCCAAGGGAGACCAAATGGGATGGTGTTGTATAACAAATTATGGTCCTCATGAAGTTAAAGAGGCAAATAGGTTAAAGTGACCCTTTCTAAATTTAGGTTAGCAGACAGGAGAATCACAATAGCAATTTTTAACCTCTCAAATATTCAAATATTCTACTTTTCAAATATTCTAAATTTAATTAATTTTTTGTTACATTTTAAGTTCTGAACTGTCTCCCTTCTTCCCTCCCCACTCCACATTAGAAAAGGCCACCACTACATATACATATATATGTATATATGTCTGTGTATGTATATAAAACCTAAAACAATACTATGTGTACTTCTATTTATCAGTTCTTTCTCTAGAAGTGGATAGCATCTTCCTTCATAGGTCCTTTGTAGTTGATTTGAACATTTTTAATACTTAGAATAACTTAGTTGTTCACAGCTGCTGTTACTGTATACAATGTTCTCTTGGTTCTGCTCATTTCACTCTTCATCAAATATTCTTTAAAGGAAAAGAAGTCAGAAATATCTAGAATCTGTAGCCCTGCTTTCTATGTAGCCCTTGAAGCAATAATGAAGAATCCCCTTATAATTACATTGTTACTAAGAGTAATATTATGTCATGATGATCAAGTTTGGCCCTGGAGAGAAGAAAATGCACATCCCTCCCTTGGGTCAAACTGGGTGAGTGTTACTCTACTGCTTTTTCTCTCTCTCTCTTCTTCCAAAAAACTTCTTTGTTAGAAGGACTAGATCTCTGCCCAGGGGAAGGGGAGAAATAATTTGTACATTTTAGCCATGTCTTTCCTGATTAAGTATCTGATTTTTTTCTTTTTAAACTAAATACAGGGATTTGCATCTATGGGAATTAGACTTCATCTTCTTAGGTTTCATTCCATCCATTGCTCCAGACTATTAAGATCTTTTTGAATACTGATTTTATCATCAATCTAATCAACACACAAGCATTTATTCAAATATTTAATTAACATATTTAATTAATCACTTATTAATAAATTAATTAACTACTGAAAGGACTACGAGGGTCAATTAATGTAAAAATTTGCTTGGTTTTTCTAGGTATTCTTAAATTCTGGTCCTCCTATTAAGCATATGCTATATACTGGGCATTTGGGATACCAAGACAAAAGTGGAACTGCCCCTGTCCTCAAGGAGCTTACATTCTCTCAGAAGAAACAGCACATAGATATATAAGAAGATACAAAATTACATGTTTTAACAAAAGTATTTTTTAACTATCCTCCCCAACTTTAAGTCATGTGTAACTTTAACAAGTATGTCATCTATGTTATTTAAATTATTGATAGAACTTGTAATCAGAGGGCAGAATAGATGACCCACAGCACTCCAACAAGAGAATTCTCTCTGGGCTGGCATTAATCCTTTCATTAACATTGTTTGAGTACAATTGTTCAGCCCATTTAATACATCAACAAAAGTGTACCGTCACCCAACTAATATTTCCTTATCTTCTTCTTGAGGAAATCATTAGAGAGTTTTTGAAATGATTCTTTATAGTTAAGATATAACTATATCAATAGAAGTTTACTGGTCTAGCAGTCTAAGAGCTCTGACAAAAAAAGAAAAATAGGATGAATGACTTTACCAACAAAGGAAAAACAACAAGCACTAAGCAACATTCTGCACAATGTATTGTGCCAGGTACTAGGAGAGATAAAAAGATAAATAAGGCATACCCCTGACCTCAAGGAGCTTCCAGTCTAGTGAAGAGGGGATGGTTGGGGAAAATATAAAATGCATATAGAGATAAATATAATGAATGAGAGAACTTTTTTTTTTTTAATGTACCCCTGCAGCCTTTAGATTAGGCTTTCCTGGCTTCCATTCCTAAGTGTTCACAGGTGACCTTTCAATCCTCTGCTCTACAACTTTGCCAGGGTCCCCATTAAGCTTATTGGCCTATGGTTTTGCAGAATCCACTTTCTTCCCCTTTTGGAAAATCAAGCTATTTCTTCTTCCTAATCAATACAAACCAGAACTGTCTGTAAACTTTTTGGAAGAAAGTCTTTTAGCGCTCTCTTTGTCAGTGATGCTGGTGAATTCTGCTTCCTGGGTCAGGATGGTTTTCTCTGGGCAATTTTCTCTGTCCCTCTGCTGCTACGACTGCTGTAGCTCTCCCAGTGGCTGACAGAAGAGAACAGATTAACTGAACTGAGAACTACATTTCCCAGTTTACTCTCCTCCGGTGTCTCCCCCTCTAGAACCGAGGTGGGCGATTCCACAGGGCACTCGCTCGCTCTCTCTGCTGAGCCGTCCTAACCAGGACGAGGCTTAGCTAGGCGAAGGGGTGGGAGGCGCTTGCATTCACTTGGGCTTCAGCAAAACCTGCCCAATGCAGCAAACGTTGCTGCTTTCCGCCGGCGGACTCCACTACAGCACAATGCAGTACTGAAGGGGCCGGAGAGGCTGCAGCCGCAGCCAGCCCTAGGAGGTGCCGCAGCAGCACCGGGCTCGGCCGTCATCGGCAGGCAGTGCCCGGTGCTTCGGGCTAGGGCGGAAGGCAGCAGAAGGCGAGGGAGGACAGCGCGCCCGCCTGCCAGCCGCGGAGAGGAGAGGAGGAGAGAGGAAAGGAGAGGACAGGGGAGGAGAGGGAAGGAGAAGAGAGCAGAGAGGAAAGAGGAGAGGGAGCGCCCGCCGGGGCTGAGTGCCCGCGTCTCCACCATGAGCATCTCTCCCTGAGCATCATCCCTGGTTGGGGCAGGCTGAAGGGCAACGGAGAGCCATGCGGGCTGCGGAGGCTGCGGCTCTGCTGCCCTGGCTGCTGCTGGGCATCTCGGGCATCTTCCCGCTGGCTCTGTGCAGGCTGCCAGGTAAGTTCCCCACCGTTCATGACCTGCGGGATGGAGGGAGCTCCGCGACGCACACAGGCCACTTGCTCACTGGCAGATTGCAGGGATGCGCTGGAAAGAGGGAATCCCATTCCCCGGATGTCTGAGAGCAATTGTTTTGATGCGGGTGTAGAGGAGTAAAGCCGAAAGGGACGGGGTGCGTGCGTGTTTGTGTGGTCGCGTTGTGCGGGAGCCTCTGGAGAAGGTCTTCTTCTTTTCTTTCTGCAGCCTGGGAAAGATGAGGAAGGGGGATGCTCTGTCTTTGGGCCCCGAGCCTGGAAGCCCTCTCTGGGGTGCGCGGGACCAGGGCTGTGGGGCCGGGTCGGTCCCCCGGAAGGGTTGGGGGAATACCGGGGAATCCGAGGGCTCTTGGCCCGGGGTCTCTTCCAAGAGGGGGACTTTTTTGTTGTTGTTCGCTGCGGGGATTACATAGTGGGAAGGGCAAGAAGGAGTAGTTGGGCAACCTTTGGGCTCGGGGTGATGATTTTCGTCTCCTCTCCTCTTTCCCGGCTCCCCTCGCCCCCTCCACTTCTCCCACCCCGGAGGAGACGCCTTGTTGACGGAGCTGGAGAGAAGGAACGAAAACCGCTTTCTGGAGAGAGAGAACGTCGTGCCCCTCCGGCTCGTCTACCGCTCGGGAGGCGAGGACCAAACTCGCCATGACGTGCTCACCACTCGGATCCGGGGCGCCCCGGCTGGCGGCGGCACCGGCGGCGAGCAGGTGAGCGGAGGGCTGCCCGCGGAGATGTGTGTTTTGAAATAGGGGGCGGCGGGGAGGTGCGGAGGTGGGTCTACTTGGTTTCACCGACGCCCCTTGCCAGCTGCCCGGGAGCTGCCACCCCGATCAGGTTTCTGTTGCCTCGGAGACAAGGTGCCTTCCTTAACATTGGCGGCCTCCATCCATCCAAATGCTAGTCATGTCGGATGCTCACTGCAGAATGGGTGGCCTGGCCAGGCCGGGCAGGCGGGAGGGCAGGGCTTGGCTCATCTCAAGTTCAAGTTTCTGCAGGATGCCCCCAAGCTAGGGCAGTGACTTCGCCAGAGCAGAAAAGCACAGATGGCCACTTTATTCCCTGATTAAAAAAAAAAAAGACAGAGAAAATTAATATATTCATATTGATGAATGAGAACAATATTGTAATGGGACAGAACTAGAGTGAGTTTTTACTCTAGAAGAGAGGAGAAGACTTTGTATCTTAGTAACCTTCTCAGTAATAACCAAAAGCAAATTGGATTAAGGAGGCAAAAACAAAACAAAACAAAACAACCATCCCTCTCCACCTCCTCTTGCTAAACTTACAGCTCTCTGATTTTCGAATAATAAGGAGGGTGCCCATCCTCCAATTTCCTAAAAAGGTATATCTCTTGTTAAGGGAGAATTTTTAGGTGCAATCATCCCAAAACATGTTGATTTGGAAATATTTTAATGATTTAATTTTTAATTAGTTACTATGCTTCCATTAATATTAGGAAGCTATAGCTTACCTGGAAATTTATTTGGAGTTGTGAGTTAAATGCCATAAATATTAATAGTGATGTAAATATTTGATATGTTTATAAAAATTGCGCTGACAATTCACATGGAAATGCAGGAGATCCTCCTCTTTCTAATGCAGTCTTTCTAACTGAAGATTTGCACAGACCTGGTTGAAACAAAATTATACTGAAATTTTTTTCTTATATAATAAGGTCCATCCATAGATACCTCATCAAGAATAGTGCTTTGAAAGCTTTTTTGTATATTTGACATTCACATGAACTTTTCAAGAGATGTATGATTAAAGTGATGTTTACATGGAGAAGATATCATGTTTGCTTTCATAAAATTTGCGTGTTTCTACACATTTTAATTCTTTTAAAAGTTTACTCATGTATGGTAGTAAGATGTCTTTCTCCAGTCATGATTTCACTGATGTAGAGAACTCCCAGTGAAGAAACTCCCTCTGTCAATGCAGATGGTCACTGTTTTGTGACTCATAGATTTAGAGAGATTCCAGGACCCTGAAGAGGTTGAGTGACTTATCCAGGGTCACACAGTCAGTATGTCAGATAGTAAAGTACTTTGAACCCAGGTCTCGAGGACTCAGAGGCCAGTACTACATCTACTTCTGGGTCTCTTTGCACTTTGCTAGGCAGCCTCTCGGATAGCCTAAAGGGTCACAATAATAAATATTTTTATTAATGCTAAGTCTTTATGAGTTAACTAGCACTAAGTCTGCATGAGCTAACTGTAATTAAGGGTAGTATTATTTACCCCAAGATATCATTTTTCCTCTGTTTTGATTGATATCCATAGTTTAAAGTGAAAGTCAGGACCTACTTTTCCTTACTATTCAGGCAGTTTCATTTTAATTATTAATAGGAATGTCCTTATAGTAGTCAACTTTAGGTAACTCTTTTTAAAATGTAACATAAAATTTTTCTCTCTTAGGAAGGGACTCTAAGACAATAAGTTCTGCATCAGTAGAGGGAATTTTCTCCTCTGGGATTTCCCTCTATCATTGAAAACACAGTTCCAAGTCCTTATTCTATTCTGGCAGAGAAAGGAAGTTTTCTCCTTTGCAAAATGGAGTTGGGACTATTGGATCTCTGAGGGTTCCTTTCAGTTTTAACTTTCAGAGACTCATCTCTCCTTCCCCAATTCTTTCTTTCCGATAACTGTGTTAGAGCAGCACTTCTTAATCTTTTGAAGTTCATAGATTCATAAATTGTTAGAACTGGAAAGATCTCAAAGGTCATTACTTATGACCACAGTGTTCTAGAGGCTCATTATTTCCTAAAAGTGAGTTGATAAAAGCATTTATTTATAAGAGGGAGATGAAAAATACTCTCCGTTTGAAAATGCTTTATAAACATTTAGGTTCTATAAAAGTCTGACATGTTGCTGGAAATCCAAAAACATATATTCATATACTTATAATTTAATGAGAATTATATTTAACTATTATTTATCCAGAAAAAATGTATGTATATCTATGTAAATGCATATGTGTCTATACCAAAAAATTTCTTTCTTGATGTCTTTATCTATACTTGACCACCATCTCATTGTTTGTTTGTTTGTTTTTAACTATAGAATTCAATGATGTTTTCCAAAATGCTCTCAAATCTCATGGGATAATAGATTTCATGAACTGCCCTTCTTGGCTTCTCTCCCTCATCACTATTATTTTCCCCCCAACTCATTGAGTGTCACTGACCAACAAAATTGTCAGGCTTTATTAAACATAAATTATTATTCCATGTCAGAAACAAAAGTATGGAGGGGGAAACCTAGTAAAACGATTTTAACCCCAATAAAAGGATTTGTTCTGTGAAGTTTGGATTCAGTCAAAGAGCTGCATTGGAAGACCTAGAGGGCCACATGTGACCTCAAGGCCGCAGGTTCCCCACTCTTGGTATAAACAGTGCTTCTTATAAATGTGACTATTATAAGAAACCACCTAATAGACTATCAAGAAGACACTGTCATGTCATCAGTGGTATCTTTGAAGTCACTTGAAAACCATTAATATAGAAGATTAAAACAAGTTTTCTTAATGACTTCTGACTTTATACCATTGACATTTGCTGGTAACTAGCATTGCCTCTTATATAAGCTCACATTAACCATTAGGATTGAAATAAGTTGTGGAAGCTGGAATCAGATGAGTATAATTAATCTCTAAGTACAGGGGATACAAAGAAAAAGTGAAAACAGCCCCTGCCCTCAAGGAACTTATATTCAAATGGGAGGAAACAGCCTGTTCATAAAAAGGTTTATACACAATCTGTACAGAGTCAGTATTAAGTTGAAAATGCCCACTGGTCTTAGACAACCCTTTCTTGAAAATAGTAAGTTAAAGTGTTTCTTCCATTTTGATATTTGCACTGTTTCTATGAGAGCAGTCTACCAGTTCAGTAAAGCTATGTGCTGTTCTTTCTAATGCCCATGACATTGCATTTACAAAATAACTTTAGTGATATCTTTTTTTGTGGTAAGAATGTAGATTATCATTTTTGTCTGTGGCTTGTACATGATACTCATAAGCCTATGGAAGTTGTTTTGGTTTTTTTTTACCAACTTTCTTTCCATTTAATAATGAAATTTGTATTCCTGAATTCTTTTCTCTAAGCCAATATGATTAATGTAATAATCATAGATTGTAAAAATGAATACTTTTAAATGAAAATAAGAACTGAATCTAATTGTTTGTAGTTAGTTCCACTAATGAATGCCTGTGAATATAATTAAATGAACATAGTTACTAAGATTTATAGAAATGTAGTTACTATATAATGAAAATACTACATTAACTTTTTCAGAGTACCATTTCACATATTTATGACATTATTTGAGTGGGCTAATTGGTGCCCAACTTAGCTGAAAGAATTTGCCCTACCTTCAAAAGTGTGTTAGACACTATAGTATTTGGTATGCTTAAGTAGCATGGAAGTGATTTTGAAGGCTAGGGCTAGTGGAGCATAAATTACAACAGGTATTATAAAGACTGAAAAGACTTCTGATATAGTCTCTTAGATGGGCTGAATGTCTGTTCAAAGACCAGGCTTGGTAAATTCAAATAGATTTATCACCTGGAGGAGGTAGTTTGATGACCTAAGCAAAAACGCTTCCTCTCACTCCATCTTGACTCCACTATCCCCACTCCCCAGTCACAGCAACTTGAAATACAATCTAGTAAGTTATAGAGGGGTTTTAATCTGTGTTGGTGGGTGGAATACTCACACTAAGAAAATGAGAAAGAACTCTATTTCCTTTGATTAGAGTTTCTTCAATTAATTACCCAATCAATAAACATTTAGTAAGCACCTACTATGTGCCAGGCTTGTGCTATTTAAATAAGTTTTGGTTTAGACATGATTTCACTGGCATAATGATCTTCTGTTACCACAGCTAATGTTTCCAATGCTGGTCAATAACTGTTCTTCAATTAACAATTTTCCAGAGTTGTTTGGTGGTAATGAGGGGTTAAGCTACTTTCCCAGGGTTACACAGTCAGTATGTGTCAGAGGAACATCTTGAACCCAGGCTTCTTTATTCCTTCTCAGCTGGCAGGATCAGGTCCATTACTGATAGCTGAGACATTAGCAATTTGTTATTTCTGAATGTCACAAAAAGTTTCCAGGAACAGACTACAGCACAATACTCATTAATTATGGATTCAAAGCAACTGTATAACTTGTTTCATTTTTATCTCCAAAATGTGATCAATACAACTATATTTCTTCTTTTAAAAAATTTGAGTTCTGCAGAGACATTGATTATTTGGTCAGAATGCAATCTTTCTTCTTGGATATGAGGCCATACTATACGTAGTTTCTTAAATTCACAGTTGTACGGAATCATGTTTTCTTTTTAAATCTCAAGGATGTTTATTAAGCTATACCTGGAAATTTAAAAATGGCCAAAGGCTTTGTTTTTAATGTTCATAACAAGCACACTTGACTGACAGAAGTCTTGATGCTTTTTAAAAATTTACATTATGGCAAAACATAAGATCGAGGTCACAGACCTTTTCTGTGCTTTTGAAGCGTGTCTACAAAACCTGAAGACACGCAGCTCTTCAAACCTACAGACAAAACAAGGCAGTCTGAAACACTAGGAGTTAGCCTTTCATCTGGCCTGAAATAACTCGTGCTGAGTGCATTTCTGTTTCTCATTCGCTTTCAATTCAGTTCAACAAACAGTTCAACTGAAAGTACTGATTAAGTATGTATTTG